GTGGTTCAGGAACCAGGCTTCATTCGGCCTCCCTCAGTTCTTCCTCTTTGCCCATTTTTGGATTGGCCGGAGTCAGGCACTGGCAAGGTGGCAAGGCAGGAGCCTCTCACATTGAGATTCACCACGGCTCTTCAGAAACCTATGGATCACACAATATTTATGTTTTATCCAGTCTATGATCTTTACACACACACTCCTGATAGGAGGTCTAATCAGGTGAACACATGTGGGAGTAAGTAGATGCGTAGCCTTTAATAACCTTAATGCAAACTCAACACTTTTTGCACCACCACTGGTTAGGCTCTAAGAATAGCTACATGTCAGTATGTTGTTTGTTCCACTCTACCTGTTCATATAGCTCTTTCAATTGTATTCAATGGACCAAGACACAAGCCTCAGTACTAGGGATGAACCCTGATGTTTGAAGTATGTGCACATTCCTCTGCTCCCCTCTGACGTAGAGGAAGTCCTTTAAATTACAGTGTTACCAGCTGTTCATTTCCATAAAATTTCAATACCATATATGAGATGGCATCTCTTGCATTGTGTATATACTGTATCACATCTAAGTGTTATGTGTCTGAGATAATTAAGCAGATTTTAAGGCTTGATAACCATGAAATACAGTAAGTAGTGGAGTCGGACAAAACAAGTTTTTCTTCATCTTGGATTTGTGCACCCAGCGTCCTCAGCATGTTTGCAGCCAGTCAGGCCGCAGCCATGTAATCAGGACGGGAACTCGAGCTGTCCCTCACCAGGTCGCTGTGGCCCCACTCATTATCTTATCTCCCATTGTAACCCGCTGTAATTCACCCTCTCATGATTGATGATGTCGCTGTCTGATTACACCAAGACAAAACCCCCCTAAGATCACCTTTCGTTCCTGTGGCCAACTCCACGAGCTCCACGAGGTCCACTGGAGAGCAAGACAGGGGGTTGTGTGGCCATGTTGAGCTGCTGTTACATGCACGACAGGTTTGTTTTATTTCTGAGCAGGAATCAACAGTGTGGTTTATGACAAAATAACTAATGTAATATAGTAATATTTCTTTATGTTCATGTTATTAATTTTAAAAAGTTTTTTGGGGAAGTGTAATTTTTTGGTGACACTGACTCATGTTTGATTGATCTGGACTTTAATTTTCAACATGCACCTAAAAAGACTCCTAACAGCAAAGTGTTTCTGATGAGGAGATTTGTGTGGTGCAGCCGTAGGGTGCAGAACAAAAAGAAATTAGAAAGCTGTTCCATAAAACATTTAGGCTGAAGGCTCCTCTGCTTCAGATCATGTCCCTGGCCTGCCTTGGACAAATCAGATAGGTAACCTGTGCTCTTTTTAAGTGAGACAGCGAGTCATCTCTCCGCGCAGCAGGTGCAGACAGATGCCTCATTATCCATGCCACAGGGGACAAAACAAGCCCGGGGACCCGTTGCCCCCCCCACTGGCATTTAGTTTCCAATGCACCAACACAGAGCAGCCTTGGATTGCCACCGGGACGTGCTCATCTCTGACCTCAGTGAGCGCAGGTCGCTCGCAGAGTCACATTAAACTTTCAGAGAACCCAAAGGTCCCCGTCAGGAGTGTTAACAGCAGCATTGTCCCGGCTCCCCCTGACTCAAAGGGCCAAGTGTAACAAGGCACCCCCTCCAGTGGTCAGGGCCGCCCCCCTGGGTCCACAGATACAGTGACACCCTTCAAATCCATCTACAGCTCTTCTGAGTGTCTCTGAGACAGACAGGGAGGCAGAGGTAAACGATTCAAAAGCAAGTGGCTTATTTTGTGTAAAAAGTCAGTGGAGCTGCACCAACATGGACGACGGTGTGAAAGCGAGTGTAGATTTGGGATCAGGCTCAGATGATGGGATTGTCACTGAGACGGCTGATCACATTAAAGGTGCAGTCTGCCTAAACAGCCTGTCACAATCTGCCAGCTAAGAGCTGCTAAATGTATCCTTCTAATATGCTCACTTTGAATTTTTAGATTTTGGAATAAAATCAAATTGACTTTTGAAAGCTCTGCAGCAACTGTCATCAGAGACGTTTTTTATTCACCTGAATGCAAAGAAAATGTAAAACAATGAATTATAGCATGATTCTTTAGTCTCTGTGTCAGGACTGCTTACAGCAAGTGAAATGCACTTTTAGCCACTAATTTCTTATAGTGATATTTAGTAAATTAAAAATTCATAAAAGTGTCATGAAAATAAAGTCCTATTCCACAATAATGTCTCTGCCTTTACATCCCAAATTTGATTTTGAAAATGATGAAAACATATATCACTTTTGGCCAAATGCTTTGCTTCAAAATGTCTCCTAAAGATCACGGAGAAGACACATTTTGTCTTTTCTCTTTTATTTTTAACCACAAATAAGCAAACTCTTTCAAAATTACTCTTTTACTTAAAAACAGCCACACAAGCAGAGGAAACTAAAGACATGTGCTAAAGACCTGAAGGACTACCGACCAGTAAGTAGCCTTGACATCTGTGCTGTGCAAATGTATGGAGAGAGTAGAGTGCAACAAATTGGATCAGTTTGCCTACAAGGCAATATGCAGTGTAGAGGATGCAAGTCTCACACTTTTAGACACTGTCACTAAACAACTGAAATTTTATTCATGGCCTGTTCTTCTGCTTTTAATACTGTAAACACAAAAAAACCTGCTGGACTGCCTCTCTGACCTTCACCCGATACAGATTTTATGGATAATGATTTTTTTTACTGAACAGACCACAACAGGTGTTTTTAAATTGTTTTAAATTGTCCAGCAAGTTGGTTTTAAAGACTGGACTCTCCCAGGGCTGTGTCTTATCTCCCATTCTCTTCTCTGCTTATGCTAACAGCGTTTCCTGCAGCAGTGAAGGAAAAACGCAGATGACATGGCCCTGGTGGCACACCTGACAATGATACCCTGATAGCAGTCAGCAACCTGGTCCAAACATTTACTGAACATTCACTGGAGCTCAATATGACAAAAACAAATGAACTGTGCTGTGGGGCAGAGTCAAAACATCTTCCCATCTCTTCCAAACTGTCAATATCCAGGGTCAGCTGGTGGAGCAGGTTGAGTCCTTCAAATACCTGGGAACAGAGACTGACACCTACCTGTGCTTCACACAACAGCTGACTCCGTGTACAAAAAAGCACAACAGCGCCTCCACCTGCTGAGGAAACTACGGACTTTTCAACGCCAGCAAGGATATTTTAACTCTGGTTTACTGTTCACTCTTTGAATCCATTCTCACCTTCAGCATTTCATCCTGGTACAACCTCCTCACTGCCAAACATAAAACCAAACTCTCTCTTGCATAATAAACCACTGCAGTAAGATAATCATCTCACCACAAACAACCCTTATCTGAATTGTACAACCGCTCTGTGATCAGGAAGGCTACCCTGATCACAGAGGACCCCCTTCACCCTCTCCACCACTATTTCTCACTATTTCCAGTTACTGCTATTAGGCAGATGATTTAAAGTTCCACTGGCCCAGAAAAACATTTACAAGAAATTGTACAGCTGCTGTTTTTATGCAGGTTTTCAATGCACATTTTAAGTGTGTTTTAAATGTAAGGAGAATTTCTGCCTTTTTTTTGGGACAATAATGTTATCTATCTATCTATCTCTCTCTCTCGTCTCCTCTGTTTTTGTGGCTGCTTTCATCCGATATTTGGCCCAACAATCTGCCAAAGAAATCACACCAGGGACATCTGTTGAAGGTGTAGCCTGCTCCGTAATAACTCCACCGACCCCCTACTGTTAAAATAAGATCATATTCATCCGGGATTTCTGGACGTCATATTTCAAAAGCATTGTGTTTTGTAGAAACAATGTAAACACCTGCTGCAGATTTGGTGACATCATTTCAACATGCTGCAGCTTGGCAACTGAAGTAGCAGAAAACAGTAAATAAATATGGCAGAGAAGAACCGAGACTGTGATTACCACTAAAGGATTTGTTTAACCTCCACACAGCACGTCATTAGTATTTCTATACTATAGTGATTGCATATTTGTTAATGTGTGCGCTAATGTGTGGTGGAAGAAGTATTCATGTCCGTTATTTAAGTAAAAGTATCAATACAACAATCTAAAAATACCCCAATACAAGTAAAAGTCCCGCATTTAAAATTCTAATTAAGTAAACATACTTGTTCGATAGAAAAATAGATACATTACTATATATTACATTACTAGATTGTTATGCATCAATGCTATTGTAGCATTTACAAACTGAGTTTGTTTATATATTTTAGATACAGTTCTGTAATTTAGTTGAGTGGTTCTCAATCTAGGGCTTGGCCCCTCCAAAGGATCACAAGATCAATCTGAGGGGACACGAGATGATTAATAAGAGAGGGAAGAAGGAAAAACAAAGTTCTGACACACACAATTATATACATTTTGGGTATTTTCTCTTATTTTAGCTTTTTTGGGCCACAATCAATTATATAAATGAAACCATGTGAGAAGTTTAGAGGGGAAATGTCTCCTTGGTGGAACTGCGAACAGCTCTGAAGCGTGACAAGAAACTACAAGTACAAAAGGTTGGGCACCCCTGGTTTAAAAATGTACAGTATTTTATACGCTTATAACGTTATGTTCTTATGTTTTTAATGTAAAATTTTAATCTGAAAGTTGGCTGGTAGCTAACATTTTTGTTAAAAAGTAGTTAAATGTAGTGGAGTAGAAGTATACAGTAGCAACAGATGGAACAAGTATCTGAGTATCAGAGAAGCAGAGTGTGTTTTCTATCTGCAGGACGTTATATGCAGAAATACAGCTTCGTTACAGTCTTTTTTATTCACTACGTCCCATCTCATTTAAGGGAAAACAATCTCTGCAACTCTCATTAAAACCGAACTGCTGCTTAAAAGGAGCAAAAGCATGATAAACATCGCTCCTCAGCTGCATAACTGCAGTGCAACTCCAGCTTTATTAGAGGAATAAAGTTGCACAACCAATTGGCTTTTTAAAGGATTGCACTGTCATCATTATACTGAAGTGGCTGAATATTTATTATATTTATATACTGTATGACTATTTTAATTACAGATATATTATGTGTTTCTGCCACAGATTTATTCTCTTCTCTCTCATCTAAGCAGCAGCTTTTTAAGGCAAAGGGAACTACTGCTGTGTTAAATTAATGAATGTACAAAAAACAAAAATTGAAAACATTTAATGAAAAACAATGACAAATAAGAAAATAAATCTTCACAAGTACTTACATTTTTTTCTTATATAATTTGTTCTGTTCAGTTATGAGTGATGTTGATTGGTCCAATATTGAATCTTTTTTAACGATTTATTGGTGTAATAAAATCTCATCAAACTGATTTTAAAATGTAACCTTAATGTGAATATGAAGGGAGGAACCCTGGAAAATATTATCATCAGGTAAAGAAGCATACGCTGCCATCTAGTGGTTGAGTCCATACCACCACCACCACCACCATGACAGATGAACTGATAGACTTGACCTTATCTCATCATGTAAACGGCTGCAGCAGAGTTCTTTAAAAAATATGTAGAAATGACAAACACTGATTTACATCCCCTCTATTAGTTTTTCAAAAAACTGGAGATGGAGAGAAACTTTTCCAAGGCTAACATTTTCATTGCTTTTGCTCAGCTGTCTTTTTGAGGCGACGCTGCAGCAGGTGCACGAACACAGCAATATTTACAACAAACTGGATTAAACCTATAGAGGAAATGCCGTAGTTCATATACAGGAAGCCGCCAGCAGTCGGTCCGACTGTGCGAAGCAGAGATTGGACAGATGAACACAGTCCCATCATTGTGCCTGTGTACAAGAGAAAAGTGGGTTCAATAAACAACTGGATTCAAATACCTTGAATTTTTATTATAATATTATATTGATCATAATATTTATTTGGCCTTAGTTATTTCTCATTATCTGACATAAGGTATTTGGTTTTGTAAGGTTATCCTTTTTGCCTCCTTTCGTTTAGAGTAGCTGCAATCAGAGGCATTCATCGAACACATCAAGCGATCAAATGTAGCTTTGTAAAATTGCTGACTTTCAGAATGTGTGCTGTACGAGCAAAAAAGCAGGATGACTTCACCTGTGTCAGAGGACGGTACGCTTTTGGTGAGCATGCTGTCTGTGATGACATTAAACACACTGAGAGAAAACATCATCGGCAGGACGATGAGGCAGAACTGGAACACATTCTGCATGTAAGCCTGCAGAAAGAAAGAAATATCCAAATAAACGTATCTAAGGATTATTTTCATTTTGTGGTAATTACGGTAATTGTATTTGTTTGGTAATTTACTTTTATTACTTTAGCCTAAAGAAAGAATTCTTGTAGATGTGAAAAGATTTTAAAAAAATATTTATATTGCTATGAAAAGGAGATATGCAAGAAAATTTTATTTGATTTGAGAATGAGAATTGAAAAATGAATGATCCACCAATCCATCCATCCATCCATCCATTCATCTTCATCCGCTTATCTAGAAATAAAGGGATTAGGAATAGAAACAAATACCAACGGACAGAGAGAAAAAAGAAAGTCTTTCATCAGGCAGAAAAAAAGCTGTTTTTTAGCGATCCTGAAAAATTATCCTGTACAGTACTTATGTAAATATGTACCTGAGCCAGTCCCACCAAAGAAGAAACTCCGATGGACAGAAGCAGCAGCGAGTTCTCAGAGTATGTCGCTGTAAGCCGACCGATCACTCCTCCTTGAATAACCTGAACACACATCTGGGTTTTAATGACCCCTCTCTCACAATCTGACATGAAGCACTAAAATCACAGTCAACTCGTCTTGTATTTCAATCTGTGTAACACTTACCATTTGGACTATGCCAAAATAAGCCATCAGATAGCCATTTTGCTCAGGTTCCAGCTTGAAGAAGTCCAACGCAATGATGGAGAACATAACTTGAAATATGCCTTTGGAAAGAGAAGAGCAAATCTTCTGTCTGATTTACAGAGTTTTTGTGCTCACGTAAAATGTCCACAGATGTTTAAGGGAGGAGTAAGCCATCCTGGAGAAACCCAACACCAAGAGACTTCTTCAGTTCTGACTGACAAGTAGGGAAACTCAGCAATTTAACTTCTGTGGGATCGTTTTGCCAGGATCATCGACACCGCTGGTTCGTTAGTGCTCCCTACCAGTCAGTCAGAACTGAAGAAGTCTCTCGGATGAGGGACGAAACGTCATCTAGTATCTTCAAGTCCAAGTCCAGTTGCCCTTGACTTGCACTTGACCTTTGGATAACTATGACCTGAATGACTGAGAACCTTTCACAGACACCTAGAATAATGTTGTGTGGCAGGGTGCGGGCCATTTTTCTTGTTTCCCACGTACAGAACAAACTCCAGATCTTTTTTAGCCCACACACAGAACAGACTAGCTAGCTGACCGTCAGGAGTGTGTATTGGATTAGAATCGCTTACTCCACCTTTAAATGTAACTCCATTGAACCCAGATCTATACAAGTGACCTTCAACAACCATACACAGGTCTTAAATATTAAATTGTGCAGTGGAATATATATTTTCATTCCAGTAAATCACCACACACATTACATACCAAGCTTTTATAAACCGCAGCACTGATTGCAGATTACCTATATTGTGCAATAGAGAAATTATGGGGATATAAATACAGTATGTACAGAATACAACATAAACATAGTTCACGCAGCGTCATTTACTGCTGCACAGTAAAAATAGATATCAACACAGTTTGTTGATTTATGTGAAAAAAAATGGGATGACAAGCACAACTGTAGTAGTAAATTCTTTAACATCTTCTGACATGAACTCTTACCTGATGGCAAACCCGCAACTATCTTCACAAGAAAAGTCGGCGCCACACCCTGAAACTTCATCAGTCTTGTGATTTCTCCCACGTTGAATATTGACCTGCTTCTGTTCGCATCTGGAGCAAATTCAAAGAGAAAGAATAAAACAGATGTACAATTGCACGGACAATACCTGCCAGATTATTAGTAATGTCTCTAACAGGCCCAATAAAACAACCACAGCAAGAGAAATTTGTGAATTGTAAAAAGGTAGAGGCACAGGCACAAGTAAAAATCTAATCTCCACATTTAAGAGTAGGCTTAAGACTTTCCTCTTTGATAAAGCTTATAGTTAGGGCTGGCTCAGGTGAGTCCTGAACCATCCCTTAGTTATGCTGCTTTAGGCCTACACTGCCGGGGGATTTCCCATGATGCACTGAGCTCCTCTCTCCTCTACTTTCTCTCCCTCTGTATGCAACCTCATCCCATTATTGCATGTTACTAACACAGCTTCTCCCCTTTCTGGTAGTCTTGTGCTTTCTCGTCCCTCTCCTCTCTCCTCCTATCACTTCCTGCAGGTGTTTCTGGCTCTGGAGCTGTGGAGTCTGGATCTGTGGTTGCGGGTCACCTGCTGCCCCCGTGTTCCTGCTCGACACCCTCTGCTGCAACAACTATTGTTACTAGTCCTATTGTTATTATAATCATTAACATTACGATTATTATCATTAACACTACTATAAATATCTGTACCATTTTTCATTTAGTCTATAGCAACATCACCTTTACTGTCTGTACCTCTGAGTGTATATTGTGTAGGCTGCCTCCCTCCCCTCTCTCTCTCCTTACATCCCCCTCTCTCTCTCTCCCTCTCTCTCTCTCTTTCTCTCTCCCTCCTTCACCCCCAACCGGTCGAGGCAGATGGCCGCCCACCCTGAACCATGGTTCTGCTCGAGGTTTCTGCCTCTTAAAAGGAAGTTTTTCCTTGCCTCTGTCGCCTAGTGCTGCTCTTGGTGGGAATTGTTGGGCTTCTGTAAATTTTCATCACAGAGTACGGTCTAGACCTGCTCTTTTATGAAAAGCGCTCTGAGATAACTGTTGTTGTGATTTGGCGCTATATAAATAAAACTGAACTGAATTGAAGTTTTTGATTTACCATAACTTTTCCCCTTGTGCAAGCCATCAAACTACTTTAAAACCAATGTAACACATCAGATTAACAAAAAAACTATCTATAGCAAATATTAGACTAGTTTTAACAAAAAAAACACATAACCGAAATGAACTGCTGTGTGTTAGTAGCATTTTAATTAGCAGTAAAATGTTAAAAAGCATTTAGGCTATTAATAAAATACTTATTACATTACATTATCTTACAAACAAAGGTTCATAATTTTAAGGGGATTTTAAAAAATGTCATTTAAACCATAAACGTCATGTCTACCCTGTCACACTGATAAAATCACAAGAATTAGATCAGTATTAAGTAAAGTCTGTTTATTTGTCTAATTAATGTCTCAATGGACAGCAAAGAACCAGCCGCAGCTCTATCAGGAGAAAGGCAATTTTGTCCCTACAATCCTTATTTCGGACTGCGCCTGGACTTTACTGGATATTGGTGAGAGATGGGACAACTTTAATTTGTTTCCTGTCTGACGTGGAAGGTCAGACTGGCTTGATTTGTCTCCAGATGACAGCTTGACTTTTTTTGTCCTCCTGGTCGCCTTGTTCCACTGTTTCTCACTGCGGTGCATCATTTTGATGTCTGTTAATTCCATCGCCAATTTTTCCATCTCACTTTTGTACATGTTCCTCTCTGCTGTTACTGCCTTGAGCCTTTCTTTCTGGTCTCTGACCGTCACCCTGCACTGCTGGACATACACTGCCATTTGTGTCAGACTTTGCTTTAGCTCCTCGCACAGCTTCTGTGTTTTCCTCAGCTCTTCGTTCTGGGTGAGCAGCTCATTCTGTAAGGACTCAGTACTCGGGAGAGGCAGCACTTGGCTGGACTTTCTGATGAGTGGCGTGGAAGGTTTTTGTTGGATAAGTAGTTTATTTTTCCCTACTAGATCCCCAACAGTGCGACACCTTTTGAACTTTAATTGCAACTCTGAGCATTCATTTTTGCAGCGCTGCCACTTGTCATTCAGGCCGTCCCTCTCTTTAACCACCTGGTCCAGTTGTTCCTTCAGGTTTTGCTGCTCGGTCCTCTGTTTGACAGCAGCCTGCTTTACTGACTGCAGCTCCTTCCTCATTGACTGCAGTTCCTCTTTGAGGGCCTCATTCTGCTTGTGCCCCCGCCTCAGGTCCATTTCCTGGATCCCGATCTTCTTACCCAACACCGACAATTCATTTTTGCAGTGCATCAGTTGGTTCCTCTGGTGGTCTCTGTTTCTGATCACCTTTGGGACTCTTTGCCGCTCTGCTTTGAACTGCTCAGCATCACTCGTCAAAAACGCACCTTTCTTCTTGTGGATCTCACTTTCCTTCTTGAAGGCCTCATTTTCCTTCTGGAGGGCCTTGGGGGTTTTCTCCATGCAGAGATATTCCCGCTCAGCATCGGGAAGGATTGGTGACGAGACATAATGATGATAAGTTAACATGGGGCCTGCTTTACACAAAAGCTTGTCATCAGAATTAAATGTCATTTTCTGAACACCGGGTCTCAGTATGATTTGAAATGTAGAGTTTTAAACAGTCTCTTTTGTCACCTTGCTATAGGGTTGAAAAAGAATCACATGACATTCCAACAGTATGTGATGCAATGAAGCATACATGCGTTCTGCAGCTGAGACGGACATTCTGTTCTTTCTTGTGCAGAAGAATAGACTGTATTTCAGAAATAGACGTAGCTACCATGACGTAACCCATTGGTTTGTTGGACTACTGTTTTCTCATTTTGGCCGGTGGCTATCACGTTCTTTTGTAATTCATGTTATCTGTGATATTAATTAGTATGCTAATTTCGGCTGGAAAAAAACAGGCTTAAGACAAAATGTACTTACAGGAAATAATTAACAGCCGGCCTCTTCAAGTCTCTTCTAACCAAGACATTTTAGGTGACCAGAATGGTAGCAACGCCCTAAAGCAAACCCCACTTCCTGGTCTATTTTCCTCTAAATGGGACCATACTTTTCTAAATGAACGTCATGCTTTGTTGAAGAACGCTTGAAACTAACGATTGAGACCATAAACTCATTAGGAAAGTGTTTACTGGGGTAATAAATTAGGTGAGAAGTAGGTTAAATTTGTCATTGACTACAATACAATCGGATTTCTTTTTGCAACCGGTGGAGTCGGCCCTTGTTGGCCATTAAAAAGAATGCAGGTTTAAGGCACTACCGCATTAGCTTAGGCTGTGAAGCGACTGAAGAAGACATTTTCGGAGGAAGTGAGGAAGAGAGAGTGATTGAGCATGAGGCTCCCGGACATTGGCGAGACCTTTGTGAAATAAAAGGCTGCAAGACAGAGAGCAAATTTACTCGTTCCCTTGCCGGTGCTTTGCCTAACACCTGCGAACTACCTAGAAAAAGACTTTTCCTGGAGAGCTCTATTTCTTTATTTTAATAATAATACAAAATAAATGTTTAAAAACATTGACACTGCTGACCGAATGTGATTTAAGTTGGACTTTTTATGGGAAACGCACTGATTCAATACACCGGCTCAGCGCTACTTTCTAATGCCAGTGTGCCATAAAGCCTGACCATTTCAGCATTTCATTCAGATTCCCAAACAGCTGAGAACATAACAGAAGTGTATCTTACTGTCTGTGTTGGTTGTTGGAGCTTGAGCTTTGGTAGTTTTCGGGATGAACTTTAAAACCAACAGTAAACTGAAGGCACTCCCCACAGCACCAAAACAAGCAGTAAATGTCTCCCTGGGAAATACAAAGTAAAAACAGTGTCAGATGGACGAATATTTTGGACATATTAGGTGTACTATAGATATAGTATAGAAATGTGACAATTCTACACATGCATAAATACCATGTGAACATTTAAAAGTCTACATTTATAAGTCTATTATCTGTAGGACTAAACTCTGACCTCGGATCAGTCTCCAACACCCAAAACAAACACACAACAACACACATACAGTGACACTCACCCATAACGTGTGTTAAGATGGCCGCCCAACGTGGAGCCAGCTATCATACCGATGCCAAAACACAGGCCTAGTTTGGATAAAGCATCTGCCCGTTTTTCAGGTTCTGAAAGGTCTGCAACGACCATCTGAGATGCTGCAGGCAAGAGAGGGATGAAAGATTCAAAGCGAGACACTATTTTATAGGATAGTAAAAAAATAAAATTAGGATAAATGAGAATAGTTTTAACTAAGCTGAAACTTTTAACTATCTTAAATATTTCAAGGTTTAAATATCAGTTTAAAGGCAGTTTAAATATCATTGACTGAAGTAATGTAAATGTGAGTATCGAATTTTCTAAAGTGATCAAGATAAAAAGCTATTGAACATTTCTCAATAGCAGAGGAGAGTGTCACCATAGTTATGGATATAACAGCATTAAACAATTCTGTGTACAGTTTCCTTATGACTGATTACCTATTGATAACAAATCCCAATAAATATTTTCCTACGAACAGTATTACATTCCAAAAAATATATACTTTTTGTTTATTTTCCGTTATTTCCAAGCATGGCCTCTTGGTTCCACACAATTCCACTAATCACAGTAAATTCTTCTGTATTTTATATATTAATAGTAGGGACACACAGATAGGGAAAAATATAACATGAGATTTTGAGTAAAAAATTATACTCTTTTAATTAAATAAATTGGCAATGGTTTAGCCACAAAGCCTGCAAAGGAAGAAAGGGTAAAACATTGAATAAAATCCAATGAATGATTGATCTACACCAAATAATAATCTAGGTTTTAAGTTAAAGATATCAAACTGAGTGAGGAGGATTGTAGATGAATGGTGCTCACCAGGCAGGACATGCATGAAGACTGTGGGGAGTTTGTGGACAAACAGCATGGCAGGATGGTCTGCTATGGCCAGCAGCAGAAAGAAAACAACTGTTGCAGAACATGCCAGAGACAAGGCCGCTCGTGCTCCGAAGATATCTCCAAACCTGCCGACGAAACAAAACCCAGAAACAAAAGTTTTCTGCCAGACAAAAGCAGTGCAAGACGCTAATATTCTGAAGGGAATGTTAATTTCTAAATGTACAGTAATAGGTCAGTGATTACAAGTTACCTTACTTCAAATGTAGTAGTGGGTAAAAAACGTTGATAAAAGTAGCTCTTACAGAAACTTTTTTGTGTTGTCAACATTGCCTTATACTTACCTTCCAAACATTGGCCCCCCAACCAGCTGGATTACACCTACCATAGTTTGCAAATAACCAAACCACAAGGTGTTGAAGCCAAGTTTCCTTGCCAAATACTATAGAGACACAAATAAATTACACACTTAAATTCACACATTCATGTTAACATCTGTACAGTGAAATCCATGCATGTGACACTCAGAAAACCACCTCTATTTGTTAACAAATCCAAACTGCGACTTTATTTGGGTGATTTTACTGGCTATCATGTATATTATGCTACATTCATGTGATGTCATGTGGGATGGAAGATCCGTACCTGTAGCTGCGACATGACACAAACAGGACATTATCAGTTTGTCTTTGGTGAATGTGACTTTTAGCCTTATTTAAGAAAGGCAGGGGCAGTGGTGGAGGCATTTGGCAGCAGAAAAGAATTTTCCATAATGTGTGACTCCATGTTTTACTTTGAGGTCAGAGTCCAAAGAAGCTGTTCAAAGTATATTAAGCAACCTATCAGGCTCTATGTTCACTGTAGCAGCAAGAGCTAACTGTGTATTTCTCATTTCACAAAGCTCAAGGCGATGTCTTCTGATGTCTTGAATCTAACACAGTACAAAAACTGAAACTGTAAATTGATTATCAAAAAATTGATTAATCAACTTGTTGTTTTCAGCTCTATTCCCATTCACCAGTATTTGGCCATTATTTTCAGTCACTTTCAAAATACCTTATTTTATTATTTCCATACACTTAATGGATCAATGTAGATGAGTAGACAACTGTCTGGCCTACTGTAGCCCATTGTATCCCTCTTTTAAATGACTTGCTATTAAAAAGTTGGGGAAAGTAACCAAGTACATTTAATTAAATACTCTGTGCTACTTGTGCAACTAATACTAAACTACACAGTTACTTAGTCATTTTGTTTGTTAATGACACTAAAAATCCAGTCCACTCTGAGTTTGAGTTGATAAACCTAAAGTGTTGACGTGTTGCACAGACAGCATTTTGCTGTGTTGTTTATGATTTGCGATGTGATGATCAAGGGTCTAAAGACAGAGGGTGTCAAATGCTGTAGAGATTGAAAAACCCTTTTGATGCAATTTGTGATTTATGACTATTCAGTATATAACTGACCTGAGTTGACATGCTTACTGTGTTTAGTATGTAAAGTAGGGCTGTAACTAACGATTATTATTATTATTGGTATTATTATTATTTTCAAAATTTAATATAAAAAGAAGGAAAAAATATGTGAAAATGATTTCCAAATTGCTTGTTTTGTCCAAAAGTTCAAATCCCATCAAAGAGAAACCAGCAAATACATTTGTGAAGCTGGGGCCAGAAATTTTTGGCATTTTTGCTTTTTTTGTCAAACTGATTAATCACTTAATCATTTCAGCTCTAATGTAATGTAAAATCTCCACATATACACATATTCATGCATCAGTTTTGAGAAAAGCATCTATAAAGTAATAATCGATTATCAATGGTGGATTGTAACTATGTACGTTCTCTGATTAATTTTTTTTACTATTTTTAGAATTTTTGCAAACCAATCAATCAATCGATTAATGGAGAAAATAATGAGCAGATTAATCCATAATGAAAATAATTCACAGTTCAAAATGAGCTTCAGCTCAACAACAACAGAAAAATCCTGCTTTACATTAATGCACGAGGAATAATAACCTAATGATAAAATATATAATAAAACAACTGTACAGGGGACTTTTTACTGCATGAGTACTTTTAATGTGTGAAGTACATTTTCGTGACACAATGTAGGACTTTACTCTGTGTGTTTATACATATTAGTACTTTTACTTAAGTAAAGGATCTTCATACTTCCTAAAACACTGATTATAACATATTCAACAATGAAATGCATTAATGTGACTGCAATAAGGAGCACTTTTACCTATGATAAAGTACATTAACTGCATTTTGCTGCTAAAATTTTAGTGCATTTTGTAACGCAGATCTAACTTCATGCACCACATCTTGGATGTGAGGGTGCTGCAGTGATGTAAATGTATGCAGGTAATGGTAGCATTTTTGCGTGTCAAATAACACACATGATCACTCTTAACACCCACAATAAATTCTACATCTGCCCTCACAGTAACAACAGTGATTAAATACATTTCCCACAATGCGCGCTTCCGGAAATGTTTTCACATTCACAGCAGCACGGAAATCTCGCCTTCCTGCTTTTAAGCAACATAAATACTTACAGGAGTTACAGAAAACTGTAAAAACATCCACGTGATATCCAAAGCAGCGATGAGGTAGACGATGTAAATGATTTTCATCCTCTTTGGTTGGTCTTCAGCGTTAGTCTGGGAGGAAAGTGAAGCTCTGGAGGTTTCCTCGGTTGTTTCTCCTCTTCGACTCATTTTGTTTTTTTGCAGAAAACTCACCAAACGTTTTGGTCACATTAATGTTAATGTTCTGTTACCGAACCGCAGATATGGAACAGGCAGGGGAATCAAACTGCGAGGTGCAAGTTGTCCGGTAAAATATTCTCTGACCTGCACTTTCGTTAGCGAACTTCTCGTTAGTTGCACTTTGGAACCGACAAGGAGGCGTTACCTTAGTAACGTTACTTGTGAAAACGTGATTACCGGTAGTTACGAAGGGTGATAATCAAAAGTGGAAAAACCGGAGTTTTGGTTTAAGTATGTTCTCCTAAACAACTGGATCTGTCCCTGACTTTTTCCTGTCGGTTTATTTAAGTCAAAATCTGCTTTGTTGGTCAAGGTTTAAGTAAAAGTATTGTACCACACAGTAGTAATACTCAGGTACATGCATTGGCAGTTCCTTAGGTAAAAATGTTTAAGTATAATCTGAAAAATGTACTTAAAGTGCAGTAAAATGTCCTCTGTTATAGTATTATTTAATACTTTGATTATTATTACTCATGCAGTAATGCTAAATTAGAATTGTACAGTTGTAGTTGGTTGAGGTGGAGCCCATTTTGAACAGTTTTTATCAGACTGCAACTCATGAGTTATGGATTAATCTGCTGATTAATGTTTCCATTATTCGACTTTTTTTTTTAAGAAATCAGAAAGAAAAGTGCAAAATACCATCACAATTCCTAAGAGCCCAAAGTGAAACCTTCACAGTGCTTTTGTTTTGTTTAGTCCAAACCTCATGATTAAAATAAATTACTAAACTATCTAAAGGAAAAGCAGCAAATCCTCACATTTGACAAGCTGGAGCCATAAAATGTTTGGCATATTTTTATTAAAAATACTCAATTCAGTTATTTTCTTTGCAGACAACATACAATGTCTATATATAAGTCAAGTTTTCTGTAGGTTGTCAACAAATACTAATGTCTTTCTTAGAATTCTCATCATGATGAACAGCAGATGAAACTCGTTCTGGTTTTCAGTTCTCGTTTTGTTTTATTGCAGACACAGAGTCAGTCACACGTCTCAGCAGGGTCACATCTGATTCTGTTATTGCAAGTTTTGGAATGACAGAAGCAGCTTCCTTTAATGAAACAGTGACACAGTGTGCAGTTAGAGTATAGGAAATAAAATAACCACAGGGTGTATCTGCTAAAAGGCAAAGAAGCCAGGTCAGATTTTACAAGACAGTCTCTTACTGCCCTCTTGTGGCAGAATCTAGATTGTATATCCTGCTGAGACTGTGGAAAAATGACAATATGTTCCAGTATTTCTAAATAACATTTGGACCAAAGACGTGGAATTGCAACCTTTTTATATCCATAAAGGTCCAAAGGGTTGTTTGGAGTAATTTTATAAATTATTTGCTTAGAATGTGACAACAGTAAAGAAATCTATAAGCAGAAATAATTGTCTAGATTGTCCTTATTAAATTTGGTGGTCCTATTTCTGTCCACTAAGTGTTTTTTTCCTGCTGGAAGAGTTCATTTTTAAAAACAAAAGTTTTCTCATTGCACTTTTCATACCGAGCAGGTCTAGACCGTACTCTTTGTAATATTATTTCCAAAGACCCAATAATTCCCACCACGAGCAAGCACTTGGCGACAGAGGCAAGGAAAAACTATCTTTTAGAAGGCAGAGAAAGCTTGAACAGAACCTTGACTCAGGGTGGGCGGCCATCTGCCTCAACTGGTTGGGGATGAGAGGGAGAGAGGGCGAGGGGGGAGCAGCCGACATAAAATCCACACAGAAATACTAGTAGAAATAGTAAATATTAGTGGTACAAAAATGAAAATTAGTACTGATAATTATTGTAATATTAATGATGATAATAATAGGGCTAGTAATAATAATTGTAGCAGGGGGTGCTCAGTTGAGTTGGTAATATGCATTGTTGCATTAAACTTTCATAGATTCAGCATTTTTCATTAATAATACATGTGATTCTACGAGTTATTTGTTATCATTTAGGACTGTGAAGGTGTCACTTTGGGTGATTGTGACTGCATTATTTTACAAAGCAAACCATTAATTTATCAATAATTGAATTATCATTAGTTGCAGCCTGATGCAAAATAGTTTATAATAAATAGCTCCACCTCAACCAACAGTAAAATTCTGCTTTTACACAAATGCATCAGTAATAATAAACTAATATAATAATAGGCTAACAGTCATAGACAGATTTATACTTACGTACTTGTACTTTGGTAACATTTTCAAAGCAGGACTAACAGTATTTTTACAGTCACAGTCTGTATACTTCCTCTGCCTGTGACATACACTGAGAAAGGACTTTTCAGTGAGGGATAAGAAATAAGATAGAAACATGTCTGAAAGTTTGAGGACTTTTATTTTGAAGCTACCAAACAGCTCTTTAGGATTCTTATTTTGAAATCCTCAATGGACCTCCTTCCCATCTTGTGTGTGTGTTTGTGTGTGTGTGTGTGTGGCTGGAAGAGTGTCAGATGAGGACTGCGGTTCATTAATTAGAGTAAATTACCCTTTCTTCTTTATGGCATATAAATCTCAGAACCCAGAGTGACCATGCAGACCTCACTCCTCATGTTTACTGGGCTCAGCGACACGGAGAGATTTACCTCCGGGTGGAACTGAGCGATGCAAAGGTAGGACATCCCACAACATTTACCACGACTGGCTGCTTTCAGCCTCAACTTGTCGGTTACCTGCTCACATAATCTCTTTAAATGCCTCTAAACTTTATTTTCTTAATGCTGCGGGTGTAACGTTAGCTAGCTGATGTTTATCTCGCTGTAGCGAAAACCTGGTTTTAAGCTAACAGTTAGCCTAACTGTGTTTGCTAGCATCTAAATGAAGGTGTACAGATATAATAAAATATGACTAACGTTAAATTAAACTAATTATTTAGGTTTGTTAATTCACATTTATCCCGTGTTCAGAAAAGTGTGTATATTTAAGTTATTTGCAGCCCAAATTAACACTGTTGAAAGTGAATTGACAACCTTAATTGTCTGTCGGGTTCATGGACATTAACATATTTTTTAAGCACAGTTTAGTTTATTCACAAAAATTAAATTACAATTTATACTCATAAGAAATAGGCTAATGCAGACGTGTGAAAAGGGACACCGTGGTAAGCGAGCTGAAGCTTGTATGCAGGACCCAGAAACTAAGCAAATAGTAGACATGTAACGTTACTGACATATTGTCTAGATAAATACCAACGTTACAAATAAACAAAGCAAATGCAATCTACGTGTCTAAATAACTTAAAGAAGTGTGTTGTCAAAATTAACAGTACAAAACAATATTAACAGCCTCAGTGATGTCTAAAGTAGTGGGTCGCTGACAATGGGAGCTCTAGTTTGGTCCTTGTTTAGTAGCTGCACACCACAGTTAACAACTGGACAACTTGACTTGTGATTTTACCTAAACAAATATTATTATTATCAGAAAAAGGTATTGAAGTTGAATAATTTGGGTGGGGGCTTTTTTCTTTACCTCATCACTGAGCTTATCGCTGACCACTTGAATTTTCTGTAATTCTGCTGACTGTGTGTTTGCATTAGTAACATGAAATATATAGATTCTCCGCCTCCTCCTCCTGCATCTGTTAGACAAATGTCTTATAAAAGATGCATGGCTTTTTAGTTGTTGTTGTTCTGGATCTTGTTCAGCAGAATGGCTTAAGGGTAATTGAAACAGGCTGGCAGAAGAACGCCTGTCATGCTACACATGTTGGGCTCATTTATATCTATAAGGATGGACTAAATATGAGAAACTCCTAATACAAACACCACTTTACAGCCTCTGACATGCCCATAAAGTGGAATTGACACCAGTTTCTACAAAAACGTATAGTATTCTCTATGTAAATAATATATACAGATGGGGGGGACAAATTTATAGGTAAGCCCAACATAAAGTGTCTTAGTATGGTGTTGGACCACGACATGCCGCCAGAAAAGCTTAATTAATTACACAGGTCTCTGGAAGTCTACTGGAGGGATGGACACCTTGCTTTTAATAGATAATCCCTCTTTTAGTGTTTTGTTGATGGTGGTGGAGAGCACTGTCTGACACGTTATTCCAAAATCTCCCATAGTTGTTCAGTTGGGTTGAGATCTGGTGATTGCGAAGGCCGCAGCATATGATTCACATCATTTTCATACTCGTGGAACCGGGTAGTGAGCCTGCATGCCCTGCGGACGTGAGCATTGTCAGGATAGACATGTTTCATCTTAGGGTAAAGGTTTGCGGTGACAAGTAGACCCAAACCATGCCAGCAGATTGGACCCCTGGACCCCCTTACTGTAGGGGTCTAACATTCAGGTGGGTACTGTTCTCTTGTTGTTCGCCACATGCACTCGCCCACATGTCGAGAATATGGTGAAGAGTGACTCATCTGACCGTGTCACTTTCTTCCACATCTCTGTAGAGCAGTGCCGATGGGTTTTGCACCTCTGAACTCTCAACTGTGCGTTCATCTTTGTAATGAGGGGTTTATGCACCGCAGCTCTACTATAATATCACTGTTTGTGTTATTGTTGACGGACTGTTTGTACCATCAGGGTCCAAAATTAGCACCAACCACCTGCTGGTAAAATATGCAAATGTCTGGTAGACTTACTTCACTCACCAGCCCAAACAACAATGGTGATCTATTGAGTGGTTGGTACACTTTGAACATTCACTAGAGTTAATTTTCACCCTGTGTACCGTGCAGTTCACCTGTGTGGAAGCATCTGCACTCATTATGTTTCTCCACTCTTATCTTAAAAAAAGAAAAACATAGAATATCACCAGACTTTAATTCTCACTGCATAATATAATTTTGTCCATTATCGGGTCAGCGTCGGGTTGTTTGTGATGGCTGCCTTTTGTGTTTTTCAGAATCTCGACATCGGCCTGCAAGAAAACAACACGCTTCAGTTTAGAGGTTGGTGTTTACATTAGTGCGTGTAAGAGGGAGAAAATGTTGATGAGAGCAGTTGCTCGGTTGAATAATGATGATTTTGTGATGAAATATAATGTAAAATATTCCACAAACTTGAAGTTCAGTTATTATGCAATTCTGTAGGGTACGCAGTGTAACGCCTGATGTTATAATATAATCTTAATATTGCTCCACAGCACAGGGCCATGGAGCTAAAGGAGATAATGAATACGAGTTCAGTTTGGAGTTCCTGGA